TTCTTTTCATTCTGTAAGATACAGGCAAAAACTGCCCCCTACCTATCTTTTGGAGCTGCTGCAAGATTTATTAAACTAGGGGGGAGAAAAGCAAAACAAAAAACTGTTTAGAGGTGTGATGAGATAGAAGTTACACAAATCCAAGACAGTTTTATTATTTCCAAGGGGTGTCCAAAGTTGAATTAACTTTCATGACATCCGATGAATTAGGTAGATAATTCTAGTCCTATTTTTAAAGATAAGAGGGCTTATGTTCTCCTACTGGCACCACTTAGATTGGGTGTATGAGAAGAGATACAATTACTGGATTCAGAGGTAGGTCTGCATTGGTTGATACAATACAATCAAGTATTTAAAGGGGCAGTTTAAAAAAGTCCCATCATTCTGTTGGCAGGCAATGAGAATAGCCTGCATATTATTCTCCCCAGTTTTCTTTCTGTGGTTCTTCATGAAATTGATCTGAAATGCAAGACAAGACACCTTGTCGCAATGGTATCCAAGAGGAGCCAAGTATTTTGAGAACTATTAAAAGACATCGTTCAAATGATGAGGCACATAATGTGATTTAGTGCAAACTGAAGCCAAAGTAACCATCAGAAACCAAAGAGACTTAGGAAGAAGGGAAGACGAAAAATCAATGAGACAGTTAACCTGTAGCTTACGCTGTAAGATTATGTAGGGAGTGGATATACCATTCTCTTTAACATTACTCCCCACACACAAAATAAAAGCAAATAGAAATGGAGTGTACACATATTCCCCTCAGCCTAAAGAAACGTGAGCACTTGTTCCCCAAATTGCTTGCTCAACATTAGTAAAAATGATTCAAACTAATTAGAGTGCCTGGCACACAGAAAATCATCAATAAGTGTTATCTGTTATTAGTTGGATTTAGAGTAGAAACAGTATTTCACAAAATCAAGAACATACTAGGAATAAGACTGCCTCATAGACACCTTGTCTCTTTGCACTAATTGCTGTGTGACCCAAGATAGTTACTCAATATCATCTGTGAGGTGGGAAAGATGATAGTACTTAACTGAGATAAACTTTGTAAAAAAAAAAAAAAAAAAAAAAGGCATGAGCTGTTACATTTCAACTTGGTAGCATAGTTTCTGGCATAGAGTATATATCTGATTGACAAAGTATTGGTTATTAAGAGTTGTGCGCCTAGGCTTGTTATATGGGTGCCACCCAGCTGGCCAGCCATTGTTTATTCATCTCTTAGTAAGCTAGGCACTGGTAGAAATGTTGAAAAGGAAGTTGAAAATAAGGAAGATACAGCCTTATCCACATGCAGATTTTCTTTGGAAGTTATTACCAAAAAACAGGTTTAAGTAAAATAATTAAATGCTATAATACACGCTAAGAAAGATCTGGTAAGAGACTGATACAGAAAATGTGGAATAAATTTCTTCTTTAGGTAGAGGTTCAGGAAAAGTCTCTTTAAGGTTGTATATTGAAAGTGAAGGTCTCAAAAAAGAGGAGTCAGTGATGTGACGTGCGGATGGAGGGTGGACATTCTAGGGAGGTGGAACAGCACGTACAAAAGTTGTGAATTGGAAAAACTAGGCACATCCGAGGAAAGGATAGCCCCTGATGGTTGGCGTATTAGGATGAGGGTAGAGAATCCTGCCAAATGTGATTCAGAAGTGAGTACCTGGTCAGCCGTGGTAAGCTTGGATATTACTTTGTTTGTGATGGAAAGCTGGCAGGAAGTATCTTTTTTATACTTTCAAAAGACTACTTTTGCTGCTCTGTAGGGCAGAGTGTCCATACTTTTTTGATTGTGCATGCCAATTAGCATACAGTGACTAAATGTTCACATTCTTTCTTTGTCTTTCTGTCTCTTCTTTCTCTGTCTGCCTCTGTCTCTCTCTTTACACATATCGATGTATATATTTATATGCATATATATATACATGTTCACATTGTATATAAAACTAAATGTAACATATGTACATTAATATTTTAGCAAGGCTAAATTTTAATATTGTTGATTAAAACTAAACACATCAAATTCTATTATTTTCCTCTTGCACAAAATTGGATTACCTTAGTCTGCTTGTGCCCTTGTACCTGTGCCATCTTTAGAGACAACTATTGGAGAGAAGGAGTGGAATCGTGCAATTGTGACGTACAGGGAGCAGTCAGAGGCTGTTGTGGTAGTCCAGATGAGAAATGATGATAACTGGGACTAAGTCATGGCATATTTGTCATGTGCACAATGAGAGGACTCCTTATTGGAATTACAGATTTATGTTATCTACTAGCCTTTCATATCAATTACTTTCCTAATAAATGACTCATTCTTATTATATTGTATTAATGAAAATCTATTGGATTGCTTTGTGGGTTATTGGGTTGAAAACATCTTGAAATAGACTTCCCTCCATGATTAGCCTATTTATCGAAGTCTTCTGGAAAAGGCGAAAATTTAGGAAATTACTGGTACTTTCTTCTTCTGCTTGTTGGCAAAAGTAAATAGGGGGCAAGGCCATAAAAAAACAAAATGAATCTATCTACCTACGTATGAACAATACTACTTGGAGCCAATTTCATCCACATTTGTGTAACTTCTGTCTCAAATGAATAATTAAAATCAGGCAGTAAAAATTTGCCCGCTCTCTATGAACTCCCAGCAAATGGACTGCAAGTGCTTTCACTTTAAAGGGATCATTCAAAAAGAGGTTGTAGATTCTGGGAAGAAGAAAATCAACTGTACTTGTACCAGCATTCTTCAGGAAGAGCTTCCATTTTGAAACCAAAATACCATACATTTTGGTAGGGCAATAATAGACGAAGGCCAGGAAATCTGAATCCACTAATTTCTTCTTTTCCATTTTGCTTCTTCCGGCCTATATTTGGATGAGAATTTATTTGGGTTCTGATTCTTTAATCTGGTTTTCCTTTCTTGGAGGAATTCCCATGTACTTATCCGGACTGGAAAGGAGGTTAGCAGGGCATAGAAAGAAGTCATTAAGCAAATGATCCTGTAAAGCTCTAAAAACCTTTCTGAGGAAAGAAAAAACGACCGCTCTGGGTTTTGACAAAGAACATTTGCAATTTGGGGAGGAGAGAGGACCTCTGGCTCTCCTCTCCTCCATCTAGAGGCCATAGCCTGCCAGACAGCGTTTCTGTTTTGGAGGATCCAGGCATATAGTGCTTTTGCTTGTATTTCTTCTTTAATGACAACCGGGACACTCTTTTGTCCTTTTAGGTACTCAAATTTAATGGCTGAGAAGCCCACCCTCCTTGCATTTGCAGTTTTCCTGTGTTGGTCATACGAACAATAACTTAGATAGATATTTTATAACACCTCTCTGGATTGGATTGATACCAAGGAAGTTTTTCTGGGCAACATTAGAAAGAATTTCACTAATTAAAGAATAATTATCACTCTATATTACTTTGAACTTGGCTTCATCACAAACACAGTATTCACATTTTTCAGTGAGGTTATTCTAAGTGTGAAAATGAACAGAATTGTAATTAGAAACTGGAATCGGTACTATTTTGTTGTGTCATTCACTTATTCAATCAGTAAATGTTCATTAAACAATGTATATACTATGTACATAAGAGAATATTACGTATATGAAGACGGCAAAGAATTTTGAAATGATTTCAACGCTTAGAAGCAAATTGTCTACTTGAAAAACAGGATTGGATTTTGAGAAATTCTTTACAATTTTCAAAGCCCATTCACCTGCTATAAATCTTCATCTGAACTTATGAACAGTAGCAGGGATGCTGGGCCAGGCAGATATTATAATCATACAATTATAGAATTTTAGGAGCAGAAGGGATTTTAAAGGTCATCTAATGTGACCATTTAATTTTAACGCTTAGGAAGCTGAGAGATTGCGATTTGTCTGAGGTCCCAAAGCAAACCAGTGACAGGACACCATCACAGACTTGCTGATAGGGATCTCAAAGCAGGATACAGTAGCACTGGGCCAGGCACCGAATGACACAGAATAACTCTAAGTACTGTGCCTCTTTTCCTGTATTTATTTGTTATGCAGATATGTATTAGACTCACAATAAATATTTATTGAATTAATGACTGGCAGATTTCTTCCCACGTAGGGTACTGTGCCAAGTACTGAGGATGAAATGGTAAACAAAATACAGGTCACTTCCTCCAAGTTGCTCGAAATTTGATCCTCCTGTCCTCAATGAGTTTGCAGTCTCTTAGGGAAACCAAGATATATCCGCTTACAGAACGCGTAGTGGAACCTTAGGTTTAGGAAAGTGTTTTCTTACCTATGATTGCATGCAAGAAAATTAGGTTCAAATTCAGTGAATGCTTTAGAAGGTTAGGAGAGAAATTTAAGCCTTTTAATTGATGGGGAAAAAAAATCTCCCAAACTACACACACACACACACACACATACACACACACAGGCGCGCACACACACACACGAGATCATTTAATTACATCACTCTCTGCTGCTGCCTTTCCGGGATCTCCCCCAGGCTGGGACACACAGGCTCTGCTCCGGGTAAGGTCAAGGTGCCAACTCAGGAAGACTAAGAGAAGGAAGGAGCAGAAGCCCACCCATCCCTATCTCCTCAACTGGAAAAGACCAGAAAGAGAGAGAAAAAAGGAAACAGCAACATAGACTGATAGAAACAATAAAGCAGGAATTGGAAGCTGGGGACAGAGCGACCGCTCCGGGAGCCCGGGGTTCACCGCCCCCGCGGGCAGGGTGCGCGGACTCAGCGCCGGGACCTGCGGCCGCGGGGGCGCAGAGAGGGCGGAGGGGAGAGGCGGCGGCAGCGCCCGCGAGGCCGAGGGGAGGTCGCCGGTGGTGCCTCCAGCGCCCAGAGACCCGGTGCGCAGCGTAGCCCTGCTGCGGGACGCGGCGCCCGGAGCCCCAGCAGCGCCCGCCCTCCCTCCCGCGTCGCCCGCCAGCGCCCGCACCCGCTCCGCCAGTGACTTCAGCTCAGCTCCACCCCCGCGCGGCGGCTGCTCGCTCCGTCCGGACCCGCGCTCGGCACAAGCTCAGCCCGGGCGAGCGGCGGCCACCTGCCCGGCGCCGCCTCCGCCCGCCCCCACCGCGGCCCAACTTGGATGGAGTTGGGGTCCTGAGCGCCGGCCCCCCACAGCCGCCAGCGCAGAGCCCCGCGCCGCCGCCTTTGGTCTGGGACCCCTCTTTCCGAGGCTCTCCGCTCCCGCGATGGGAAAAGTTGGCGCCGGCGGCGGCTCCCCAGCCCGGCTGAGCGCGCTCCTCGCCGGCGCGGGGCTCTTGGTCCTCTGCTCCCCGGGCGTCTGCGGCGGCGGCTCCTGCTGCCCCCCGCCGCATCCCAGCTCGGCCCCACGCTCGGCTTCGACCCCTAGGGGCTTTTTTCACCAGGGGCCGCCAGGCAGGGCTCCTGCCACGCCCCTGCCTCTCGTAGTGCGCCCCCTGTTCTCAGTGGCCCCCGGGGACCGAGCGCTGTCCCTGGAGCGGGCTCGGGGCACTGGGGCATCCGTGGCGGCTGCTGCACGCTCCGGCCGGAGGAGACGGAGCGGAGCGGATCAGGAGAAGGCAGAACGCGGAGGGGGCGCGAGTCGGAGCCCCCGGGGAGTGCTAAGAGATGGAGGGCAGCAGGAGCCTGGGACTCGGGAGCGGGACCCGGACAAAGCTACCCGCTTCCGGATGGAGGAGCTGAGACTGACCAGCACCACGTTCGCGCTGACCGGAGACTCAGCACACAACCAAGCCATGGTCCACTGGTCTGGCCACAACAGCAGCGTGAGTAGATGGGACTGAGGGCAAAGGGGTGGAAAGATGGAAAGGGTTAAAGTCCGCTGTGTGATCTGATGGAGAACTGGAGGAAATAGGGTTTCTGGACTTGGAGATGCTGCAAACTGGTTTCTGCCTACTTCCCACAAGAGTTAACATCACCTACTAGGAGACCAGCCTCCACCTCTCTCACCCACCAGCATCATCAGGGTCCTCTCCAAATGCCACAGCTTCAAACCGAGGAGTCAAATTCCTGTTTCCTGTTGCCTTGGTCGCATTGGTGTGTGAAACCGAAGACCAGGCAAACAGAAGGGTTAAAGTACTCCTAATACAGAAATGAAAGGGTTAAATTTCCAGGCAGGCTGACATTTCCTCAGATGACTTTCCCTTTACTTGCCAGACTTACGTACTGGCTCAAGGAAGATTAAGAAGACCCATATATGTAGGCGTTTTATTTTATTTTATTTTTAATTTCATGCATAGCTCCTAACCCCTTCTTCCCCACAAGGGAGGAGGACGGCAGTGGAGAGTATAAGGTGTTCTTTAGAGGCTCCTCTGCTTTAGGGGATCAAGTGGGTGCAAGTTTCAGGGCAGGAACTCTCCAGTATCTTCTCACAGCACTAGTGAGTGTGTTTTGAGAACTGGGGCTTTCCAGCCCGTGAATGAGCGGTTGTTCTCCGGCATGGTCAGTCTCAGGAAGATCAGATATATCCCAGTGACAACAACTCCCTGTTCTCCCCCATTGCCTGACCTCCTCTAATGAAGAGCACAAATAAAGACTTAACATTCCCTTTATGAAGGCAGGAAAGGGATTGCTGAATTCCAGGAGGCTGGATTCCAGGGACTTAGGATGCAAGTCCATGAGCTTTGGTCATATCAGGAAAGGTTTTAGATTTTCAGAAAAGCTTGCATGTCTGCAATCCGAGGGAGCTACTCCTGTTGAAATTGAACCTAGAAACTTCAATGAGTTGAAATAGTAAAGAACTAGCTTTGATTGCAATAACTAAACATGATTTTAAAGTGTGGAAACTTCTCCAGGCAGCAGCAAAGAACATAGAAACCAAGGATGGGTGAAATGGGGGGAAAATTCCAACTTTTAGAGCTTCAACCAGGTAATTGAGATTATAGTGTTTGTAATATGCACAATCTGTGCAGCCTGGTACCTTTAGAAACATTTTCGGCTATGATGTAATTGCCAGAAACCTTCCCAGAGAAGTGCCACTTTAGTGAGTTGTGCTCATTGTCAGCTTTTTAATGTGAGTTGTGAACATTTTAAAATACTAGTCTGTCATTATGAATTCCTTGGGTCCGTAGATATAAATTGTATTAAGGCAAATCATGATAGATAATATTTTGTATTGATGTCTCTGTTCTGAGAGTAGTAGCAGGGTTTTCCCTACAATTCATGCTTCATGACAGAGGCTGTGATTTTATATAGTTCTCAGGAGTGGTTTGATCAAATAAATGAAGCTGAAATCCTTTCCATTCAAGTTCTGGAGACCCTTGCCCTCATTCCTTACCTTAACTATTATATCTCTCATATCGTAGCCACTAAAATTAATCCTCTAATTTGAACTTGCATCTTCTTAAACTGATTGAATAACTTTCGCACTGCTTTAAGTGATTAACTCAAAGCTTCTGGCTTTCAGGGGGGTTTTTAAACACATCAAACATGTTAGCTCTTGTTGTATTAAGAAGTAAAAGACTTTGGACTCAAAATATTTCTGGCTTTTAATGTAATTCAAGCTGTAAAATATCACTCACCCATTAGACCTCTGTTTTTTTTTTTTTTTTTTTTTTTAGCTCATCTTTTGAAAGATCTTGGAAAGAAAGTAAAGTAGAATACATCTTTGGCAAATTTTTAACTTTCATTCAGGAAATGGTGCCAATCACTGCCAACATTTAAAAAATAATAACAAATGGTGCTTAAAATTCTAGTAGGGCTTATTAGGGTCAGGGCATTGAACATGCCTGCAGGTCTAAGATAATGTAGGAAATAAGGAGTTGACTGTTAAAAGTTTTGATCACTCAAATCATGTTAACTAACGAGGTGAGATATCCGCCCTCTGAAGTGTCTTATTCCATAAAGACCTCTCCTGACCCAGTCTGTGCCCTGGTCATCATACACAAAGGTGTTTTTACTTTTTCTTTTTTAAGTATATACATGCAGATAGTGGAGAAAGAGAAATAGTCTTTATCCATGTCCTCTAAAACAAAGCCAGTCCTACGTATCTGGACCAGACTCAGAGAGAGTTTAAAATATTTTTAAAGGAAAAGAAAGCAGAAAGAAACTTTTTTTGGCAGTTTTGTAGAATGCAAAGCAGAGTGGAGACCTGATTCCAGTTCTGCTTATTTGTGGTTTGATCCAAGCAAGTTTAGTGTCCTCTGAATGTGGATTTTCTCATCTGTAAAGTAGGGGCAATGCCTGTCAGATTAACTGCAGAGAATTAGGAGACAGGCTATACATAAGAGGGCAGTGTGACCTGAAAGCCTCACACACCTGTTTGGAACTCTCACAACAGTTCACTTTACCCCAGAGTGGAAAATCCGCTCATCTAAACCTGAAGGCCGGGCTGGGGTAGAGGGGGGAGATTTAGGGGGACTCGTCTCTTTTCACGTTTAGATGTCCTCCCCTGTAGATCTGCTCCAAAACCCCTTCAGGGCCACAGGCAATGCACATCCTGTGAATCCCTCTCATGTTTAGCAAAAAGCCTTTGCTGAGAAGAATCTCTGATTATGACAACACCTGCATTCAAGGTGCAAATGCATGGTAATTATAGGCTGCCTGTCAATCTGGTGAGGAATTCTGGATGGTTCACTCACCTCCTTCCCATCTCTTTCCTGCCCCCTCAGCTGTTGGACTTGAGCAGTTGTATAAAGACATGTCTGTTTTGCCTCGTCTGTGGGTGTGATGTGATTCCTCTGTACTGAAGTCTCGATTGATGGAAACTGTTGCTAGAGTTGGTGGAACACCTGGGGGGATCTTCTGGCATGAAAGGTGCTGGGTATGAATCATTTGTCATGAGCTTGGTGTCGTAAGCAAGAACATATTGTTCCCACCCTACTCATCCCAGGCATGCTGTGCCCTGATCTAAATTTATATAGTAATCCTTAGAGTGTTAAAATATATATTTGCCTTTATATGTATGCATAATGGTGTATGTGTTTATTCCTTATTTCCAAGGGATTTTAAAGTGCTACAGCATGAATCTTTATAAATTCATTCGTAGGTAGTAAGTAGGTGACAAGTGTTAATATCTTTTTTTCATATTTTTATGCCAAAGTTAGGTTTAATATTTCAGTTCACCACTCTGCCCCTTTCTCACTGGCAACTGTATTACCAGATTTGTTAACAGAGGGTTTTACTTGACTTCTGTTTTTCCATGATGGGATCTTTAATGTTACATTTATCATAGCACATGATGGACTGCTTGATTTCTGTGTACCTCTTTGCTTCTAGTTAGTTGTTCTGGGACTTGACATTTACCATCCAACATTAGTGAATAAATTGAGTCTCGAACTGGGCCGACTTTTGGGGTAGATGCCTTACATTCATCATCTCACTTCATTTTTCACAGAAATATCAAGAGTAGGTGTTATTATTGTCATTATGTACAGGAGGAAACTGAGGTTCTGAAAGGCTAAATGAATTAATTGCCAAATAGACACAGGAGGTCAGTGGCAGAGCAGAGACTGTCACCCAAAGTGGTCCTACTCCTAAACTGCACAGAAGGGCTTGTCCCAGGGACTTTAAAGTAGAGCAGAAAAACTCAGATCTTTTGGAATCTGAGTTTTAGATAATCCTATCTTGAGTTAATTTCTGATGATGGTGGAGGAGGACGTACTCTTAGCTGGAAGCGCTGCCTCCTTGTAGAAATGCGAGGACATTAACATGTGCCTGTCACGTTGCACCCTTTACCTTAAGTAGTGATTTGGTTGTTCTCTCATCCACCCACCTCTTCATCTTCAGTGAGACATGGAATCTGCACCTGGTGATTCAGTGAGCAAGAGGTAACCTGCGATCATTCAGCTTTCAGCTTAGTTGTTCTTTAGGAATACATTCCTTTTCTAATTTAGTGACAAATCGGATATTATAGACAGGTTGGCTATGAATGCTTGACTTGGCTATACACTTTGATACAGTTTGTTTTGTGGGGGGGAGCTGACATTTCACAAAGTAAAATGATAAAAGATTTTAGCTTTCTCTAGCAAGCCCACATAATTCCTTCTCTGATCAGTACTTAATGCTATATGAATGCTAATGTGGTGTGATTTGGAAGGCAGTGGATTTGAAAGCAAACAGATTTGAGTTTGAATCTTAGCTGTCCTGCTAACCAGCACATTGCCTTGAGTAAGTCACTTAAATTCTTTGAACCTCAATCTCCTCATCTAAAATATGGGGATAGTATATCTTTTAGAGGTTTATTCCTAAACATGTGACATCATGTGTACAAAGTGCTTTGTTCATAGTAAATGCTCAATAAATGCTACTTACATTTCTTACATGAAGAAAGAGTTCTCCATTGCAATTAAGAATTGTGAGTTATGATCCTAGCTGTATACAAAAATTGGATATATAGTCATAGCACGTTGAAATGTTGTGTCCTCGATTTCATCTTCTGTAAAATGGCACTAACAGACTACACTCCTTTACAGGTCAAAACTAATTTAATCCCTTGTTTATATAGATACTGTGTACCTACTGCATTTAAGTAAAGCGCACTAGGAAGTGTTGTGGATGCAGAAATGACACAATGACCTATACCCTTGACCTGTAAGGGAAGAAACCTTTTATTTCACAAGATTCTTCCTTTTTCCTCAGTTCATATGCATATCTATTTAGGGGAAATCAAGTAATTTGAGATCCCAGAAGGACATCATTTCAATCTGGGCACATGGGTTTGCAGCAAAACATAGTTTATTAGGTTTGTTATATTACATCTTCATGTTAAGGAACTTGCTATATTTGGACCCCCAAAAAATGCCTAATGTGAAAATTGGAAAGTAAA